GCTGTTTACGAATCTCCAACATTCCACTATAAAGACGGCTTGGAGGAGGAAATATTTCCAGCTGAGAATAAGGTCACAGTGAACGATTTCATGGCAACACTTATGTCTGAACCGGGCCCATCCTGCCTTGTTTGGCTACCGCTGTTGCATCGTTTGGCCACTGTTGAGACAGTTGTACATCCGACAATCTGTTCGGTATGTCATAAGGAGAATTTTACGGGATTTCGTTATCGTTGTCAGCGGTGCCACGCCTACCAATTATGTCAAGAGTGTTTTTGGCACGGCAAGACATCACTGAATCATCAGAAAGATCACGAAGTCAAAGAGTATTCCAGTTATAAATCGCCCAGTAAACAGATCGGCCATTCGCTGCGAAAGAGCTTCCGATGTGTGCCCGAGAAGACGACACAAGTGTTGCCACGTTTCCCCGAGCATCCGGAAAAGACATTGAATCTATCCCATATTGTACCGCCATCGCCATTGCCGTCGCACAACGGTTTCACCGATCCGCCACTATTGCATGGCGGCGGACCTGGTGGCGCACATAGTGGTGGCCTGTTGTATGATCGCTCCAGCACGTTGGATTCACGTGCCACTGGACGCAGTCTGGACAGTGCTACCGCTGCTAGCATGTCACGCATGGCCACCGCTTCGGCCAACGATGAGGAACATCGCTTAATTGCACGCTATGCCGCACGTCTTGCCCAAGAGAATCGCGCCGTGAGTTGTGATTATAGTTTTTATAATTGAATCAGCAATATATTGAAACAAATGATTAAATTTTAAATTTCTTTTCTTCTATTGTTTCAGCCGATCAATGCTGCTGGCAATGCAGAGAATGCTAGTAGCATCGGTTCAGATAATTCGCGTGCTCAACGCGAGCTAATTGCTCAATTGGAAACTAAAAACAAGGAGATTATGCGGGAAATTGCCAGATTACGCCGTCAACAGGAAGTCGAACAAATTACACCCGAGAATCCAGCGTTGCTAAACGAACTGCGGGCATTGCGTCAACGTAAAGGAGAACTAGAGGGTCATTTGGGCGCCTTGCAGGACTCGCGCCGTCAACTAATGGATCAATTGGAGGGCCTCATGCGCATGTTAAAAAATCAACAAACAACCTCACCACGTTCCACACCCAATTCCAGTCCACGTTCGGGCAAGTCGCCACCTATGCCTGGTGGGGGTATCGGTGCAGCAGGTGGCGGTGCTAATTCGCTGAATGTTGCCGCAATGCATTCGCAACAAGGCCAACCATCGGCACACTCTTTAATGATCGGTGGTGGAGCCGGCGGCAGTGGTCGTCCAACGCAGCAACAACTAATGCAGGCACAACAGACTGGGGCGCTTCAAGCGGCACAACAACAACAACAGTCCTTCAATTCAAGTCAACTGGATCAATTGAATCAAATAAGCAATGAAGTGCGTTCGGCATTTACAGGCAATACAAGCTCAAGTAAGTGCTCCATAAAAACGTAAAGCGATAACGTATATAATTTTATGATATTAAAGAACATTAAGTATTGGGGATTGTGGGTATGAAATCTTTGAGTCTATTAGAAGAAGTTCAAGAGTGTAATGTTTGATTTTTTAAAATTTATGTTATTAAATTATTTATTTATTCTGTATTAAACTAAATATGTGGCAACACAGATATTTTGGTACTGTGAAGACTTCTAATTTCAGATTTCCACTATACATTGAAATGAGGAAAAAAATTTCAATAACATAGTTGGCCATTAAATAATACCTAAGTCATTACATTCTAACGACAGTCGAGTTGACGTAACAAGAATTAACCATCTTTATATACATAATTCAATTTTATAAGAAAATAGAGTGAAAGTTTGTGGTTGCTAAAAAATCAAGTTGGTTTGTTTCGATAGGAAACAATTTTCCGTTGAAACCTCATCCAAGCGCACCGTGCGTGACATGGCGTGGCAGCTTTTGTCAACTAAGGGGCTAAGGTACCCTACGGGAGAAGGGAGACTCATCGGCAGGGCCGGGCCGGTTTCAAGTAGGGCGGAAGCAGGTGGAAGTAAAAATTTTGATTTCTAGTTATTTTACTTGTGAGCATCAGTATAACTTAGTTATAAAAGGCATGATTGAACCACGTGGACGAAGGACGTTGGTGTGCCAATAAGACCAAAAACAATTATATTGTAGGTTTGTATTTATTTCCAATTAATAGTATCTAAGTTGGTTCAAGCCTTTTATAAATATTAAAAATACATTCTTTAATACAGTTGAATACGATATACGCACGTTCCTATTATTTGCAAAATGGTAACCTTTGCTGCATAAACGCTGAGTTAAATTTTTTATTTGCAAATAACTTAGGTCGGTGTTATGCAGAAATGCACACCAAAAAGAGAATTCTATTTGGTAAGGGTTATAATCCTAAAGTGCGGCCGAAGGCCGCCTACGCAGAAAGAAGTTCTGCCCCTTGGCAACACAGCGAAGAGAATTCCGAGTAGTATATAATCCCTAAACGCGGTCGAAGGCCCCCCTCTAGCTCCGCCCCTATTAATTTCCAGTAAAAATGGTTTACACCTTTCAAATCAGTAGAAAGGAGCGGACCACGCCCACTTCTAATTTTTGTTTTATCTCAACGGCCGCTATACTGCACTTATGCCCGACCTTTACCCCCTATTATGAGTTGCATTCGATCTTCGACTGTGGTCGAAAGCGCTGATCGAAGGAATTTTCATTTGGTATTATGACGCTCATTCGATGAGGAATAGCGCTATTGTGAATTTCGCTCGTTTAGGTTGCTTACAATAGTATATTTTTCACCGTTGAGAAGCTTTGTTTACAAATCGGACATACTAAATGGTGTGCCTATACATTTTTATGTAAATTTGTTCAAATTAAAATGAAGTAAAAAAGAAAGCGAGTTTATAAAATTTTGGTAAAAATTAGTACAACGGAGTTCTGGTCGACGATTCGTCAGAGGATGAGGGCTTAGTAAACTGGCCAGGAGTAGAAAACGTTTAAGTGTAGTTTATCGAATATATATTTTGACATACATGATTTTAATAAAAATTGTTTAAAATTAGTGTCTAGCCGCCAAAAAGCAAGAAAACAAATGCAAAATCATACATTTCTCACAACTTCCTAACTCTTCGCTACAGTATCGAAAGCAAAATTCAGTTCCACAGAAAATTAGATACTCAACGAAGCGCGTTTGTATAGCTCACAATACGAATTTCACATTCGATATTTGATCTTCGATAGCCAGCGAAGATCGAAAATCGAATGAAAGTCATAATAAGGGCTTTGTTAGTCACGCAAATAAGTAGTGATTAGTGATATTTTTTGGAAATAAGCGAAAGACGTTGCCATACTTAAGTTTATTTTCTTTTTCTATGGTCATCGTATTGCCTTTTTTAGAATTTGGTTGAAGAACGCCCTATCTCAGAATTCGGTTCAAAAATGCATTATCTGAAAATACATTGAAAATGTGGTGATATAGTTTTTAAATGGGCAGCTGAGATAGGGAATTCTTTAACCAAATTCCTAGATAGGGCGTTCTTCAATTAAATTCTGAAGTAGGGCGTTCTTGAAAAGTTTTCTGAGATAGGGTGTTTTCGAACTGGCTGCCGAGATAGGGCGATCTTCCACTCAGGTATCGATACGTAGTATTGGACAAATTGTCCTGATGCCCTGGTCCAAACTTAAATTGTCCTGGTTTTTTAAAGAAGGTCAATGCAGGTGCCAAATCTTTTTAAGGCTAGTTTCCCCGAATTCCTGCAAAAATTCCACTATTTTAGATAGTATTCACCAAAAATAATAAAAAAGTATCATTAATTTTAATGAAATAATAAGGACAATCTTTTCAAAACTATAATATTTCTGAGTATATCGATGGTCAAACATTGATAGCTCTTAACTGACATCGTGGTTAAACATTGAAAACTCATAATGGCATATGTATGTATGTACATTAGGGCGGAGTAATTTGTTCGGAACAAAGTTTTCGAAGAAAGTGTATAGTGCGAAGTCAGTTAGGAGTTATCAATGTGTGACCATCGATATATTTTTTTATGCACTAAAATCAAGAGAGGTTTTATTTTTAAATAGTGCTTTTTAAGTAAAATTGTGCCAAGCCTATTTCTGATAGCAGTTTTTTAAACTAATTTTGGAAAAACTTTGCCACACGTTGGCTTTGCGCCGAAAACAAAGTAAAAAATGATAGCGTCAAATATAAACGTCAAGTGAAAGAGTCGCAATGCACAGTTGCAATTTCTTTAATACCCACACGGTTGCATGAAGCAATTACTTTATGTTTTAAATCCGTAACTCTCACTAAGGTGTTGTTACAAGTTGTAATTATATTGTATATTGAATTCCCCTGAAATTTAAAGTCATTCCTCGATTCCGCCGAGCAATTCAAATTCCACCAAACTCGGGAATCCCGCGGTTAGCATCACTGATGCAGACGTCCAATGAATTTTTGGTAGAAAAAAATGTTAGGCTTCCTGTTATTAGTAATCGAAAATCGATAAAGAAACGTTTTGCTAACATGTTGAACATTATATGGGAAGTTTACCTTCTTTCTGTTTAGTTTATTTGGTTAAAATCTAATTTTTTATCTACAGGCAAATGACAAAAAAAAAGGCAGTACATACTACCTAGTAGATATTTTCTGGAGCTAAAATCTCTTCCGAAACGCCTATTTCAATGTCATTTTTTTTCTCCTTTCTTGTTGGTAAATCAAAGGGCTTCTGCTTTCGCTACCCCAAGAAGAGCTTCGTCGAAAATCCAGCAAGAAATTCTCTCTCAAGTTGAGAAACTTTCAAATTTCTGCACGAACGTAATTTTGCAAGAATTTTCAAGTTTCCCTGCCAGCTGAAGTCCACGGTGGCATTTCAACCATAATAAATATTTATAGAATTTTTAAAATTATTTCAGATGGACAAAAATGGGATATACAGGTATATTTCTTGTTGTTCTGACTTTCTTTAAGATACATTTCAATTTCTTTATCGTCATAGCTGTCGGGTTTGTTAAATCGACTCTTGTTGCAATTGCATTCCGATTGCGAATAAAATTTTTTTCAGTCGACTTAAGTTCAAATCATTGGAATTAACTAAATTAAGTATATCTACAAGTATTTACTTCCTTTTTTCATAAAAAATGGCCCGTGTTTATAAATTTTTAAATTTAACGAACTTATTTATTCAAATTATCGTAGACAAAAATGCAACCTTGTGCCATAATCATATGTGTTTCGTGATTGCAAATTCTTGCGGGCTAAATTGTTCCAGCAAGAATTTGCCACTTCTCTCAGGAGAACTGTCACTTTGCGCTCTCAGTTTTTGAGTGATGGATAATTTTTTGGTCTGCACGAACGCGATTTGGGCAAAAATCGTGATAATTAACTTAGGTACGTTTGCGTAAATTGTAAATAGGAACAACCTATTTGAAAAGCAAAAAAAAAAAATGGCTGTGCAATGGTTATCAAATCGACTTATCCAAAATGCTTGTCAGTTACTCATGTTTTGACAAGTTGATAAGTTTTTTTTTTGATAAGTAAAAAGTGCAACACTTTACACAACTTTACTTAAAAATAGACTTATCTAAAAGTTTTAAAGTGATAAGTCGTTGGTGCAATTGGGCCCTGTTCGATGGGTTCAGGCTTATGACAGCCCTACGCTAGTAGTATTTTTTTTTTATAATTTCATAGCATCAGAAAATAATTTAGTTATGCCTATTATATCTTCGTTTTTGGTACATTTTAAGATAGGGCATTACTTCACTATTTCTTTTAAATAAAAATTAGGCTTATACATATAATCTTCATAGAAATGTTAAAAAATGTTTACATTTATGACTGGTGGGACATGCCCGTATGACTGGTGTAAATTAATTATGTATGAAGTGATAGTTTCGATAGACAAAAATTACAGCATCTTTTTATTTTTTTAATATTTTTCTACAAATTAATGAAATTTAGTCATTAACCAAGAGTTTACTGGTGCAATGTAGATAAGTAATTCTCTTTTACATGGTGAAATTATACCAGGTGCAGTAATAAGAGCGAGAAGAAAGATTTGAAAATTTGCTTGAAAAAATTTCTAGAATATAGCCGAATGTCAAGAAAATTAAGAAAATAAAGCGAAAAAGCTGTTTCAATACTTCACCTGTTTATAATTTCACCATGGAATTACCCTTAAATACATTTTTTCGATATAATCAGCTATGCAGAGTCAAATACTTTATAAATTCTTGTAGGCTTTGTCAATCATACACATTGAAGGTGAAAAGAAAATGGTAATGGTGGCTAAACAAAAACTTTTACCAATCAAAGGTTAGCGTTCAAATTTTCGTTTTTATATATTTTCTGCTTGAAACACAATACCGGCGAACGGCGAAGTTTTATGTCGTCGTTCACCGTTCGCCCTGCTATTTCGCCTACTTGAACGCAATTAGAGCCCATATTTAGAAATGGGGAAATAGTACATATAAGTAACAAGAAGAAAGAAAGAAATTGAATATTTAGTGCAATTTTTTAGTGCAAAGTGCGTAAATAGTAGCAATTTTGAAGAAAATCATTCTCCTGTTCCAGTTAATAAATGTGTCATTAAAAACTAGTTCAAAACAATTGTAGGGTTCCACCGAAACGAAAAATAAATTCACCAAAAAAATGAAATGTTAAAAAAAAAATTTTCACCAAAATGAACATTTAGCCACTTGCAACTTGCACTTTATTGTAATGAAATATAATGATCTATAAAACTGCATAGCAAAAATTTTTTTAAAAACTGAAAAAAATGAATTTTGGTAATTTTTTTCTTATATTTAATTTTTTTTGTAATTTTTTTTTTGTTTTTAGGGAACCCTACAATTGTTTTCAACTAGTTTTTATTATGTAGCATTTATTAACTGGTACAGGAGAATCGCTTTTCTTTAAAACTACTACTTTTTTGCATTTTGCACTAAAAATATTAACAAATAAAAATTTAAAAAATGGGTCAGTGGTCTCTTGCAAATTTTCAAGCTATCATAAAAAAAAATAATTAAATTGGTTGAGGCTCCAGTGAATTTTGAACATTAAACTCCAGTTTTGAAACGCTGTGAGATGGGTGTTACTTTTTAATATGTGATTTTACTGTTTTACAGTTTTTTTCTAAATACTTGCATTAAAAAAATGTCACTTAGTTATAAGAACTATACAGAGGCTATTTTAGAAAAAAAATGCCAAATTATATTAATTTCAATTTAAAATCTAAAAGATCTGAACTTCTTAATGATGAATGTGTGATGAAAAGTTAAAAGGAACAATATTTGCAGCAATAAAATTGTAAACACTTTTTGTCTCCTTTTTTAATTTAGTTCTCCCCTCCGAACAGTAATTAGTTCACTACAAAAAGCCATTTTCTCAGAAATCGCAAAAAAAAACAACAACATGAAATTGCCGCATAAAAGTCAAAGTTTTTGATAGTCTAAACACAGCCATTACTACTTGCAACATTTAAAAAGATTTTTAAAAGTTAAATTTTAATAAAACAAAAGTAATTAAAAATTATGTCAGAAGTATGTAGAGATTGTTCTCTTAAAAAAGGACCAGTACTTAGTTTTTTCTTTACTTTGTATATTTCATGTAGTCAAAAGTTATCAAAAACTATCTAGTTTTTGTGTTCATGTATCCAAAAAACTTGCAAGTAGGGGAGATTGAGAGAGCAAAATGACTCTCTAGGAGCGGAAGTTGCAAACTTTAACTGTACAAATTTTTGCCAGTAAAAATTTGCAAACGAGAAAACAGCTTATCGCATGTTGCCGGGTGCAAGTGAAACTAATAAGGAAACTATTTATGGCGTTTTTATAGTTGAAATGTTTTATTAGGAAATTACTACAAATAAATCACCAATTTATCAGCTGTTCATGTTGTTACTGGTTTTGAGTACGAAATTTTTGGATATATTTCCTATGACAGCGAATTCTCAGAAATCAAGTTACTGGAGAGTTGCTGGCAAGTTACTAGACAATTTTTACATAAACAAACCTATTAACTTAAGTATTTTTAAAAGTTGTGTCAGAAGTATGTATTTTTCTAAAATTTATTCTTATATTTTTCAAAAAACCACGGAAACACAAAAAATATATTTTTTAAGTACGAAAACGATTTTTTGCCACAAAAAGTTACCAAATTACCCATAGTGCAGCGGTGGCGAAAGATTTATTTCGACGCTGAGCAAAGTTCGCGTTTCGCTTTGACTGAGTTTAATTTCATATGCTTGCGGGTGTTCTAGTTTTGATAGCGCGAATTTAACTGTCGTGAGTTTGTTGTTCGCCTGTATTGTGTTGCAGTTATTATGTTTTATGTTCTTTGGCAGGGGTCGCAAAATTAAAAACATATGTATACTGATATAGTATTTTGCACTTTTTACAAAGGCAATGTTGTCATATTTTTGTTAGCAAATAGGTGTGATGTTGTAGCCAATCTG